AGTGGTACCCGCTGTCCTCCCTCTTTGCCCTGCCGTGTTCTTGAGAAGACCCAGTGAGATAGGAATGTAAAGCACCTGGCCCTGGGCCTCCTGCTTAGTAAGTGATCAACATCATGTGCTGTTTTCATGAGCTTTACATATTACCTGGAAAGGAGAGCAGGCTTTGCATTGGGATAGTCTCATTATTTATTTATCATTTGCTATCTACATCCTTTACTTTCCTTGAGGTCTCAGCTCAATAGTATTACCGCGTTTTCCAGGAAGCCCTCCCGGGTCTCCAGGCTGGGCGGGGCACCATATCGCAGTCCTTCTGGATCCTTGAACTTCCCCACCCCATCCCTAACCACTTTGTGTCATTACTGACCCAGATGGGTGTGTCTTGGTTATGGGCACTGCTTTGTCTCAGGGCGTGATTGCTGAGTGAAAGGATGAAACTCTGAGTGGAGAAGATGAATGACCTTTCCCCTGAGGACCGACACAAGGACAAGAAGGAATCTTAGAAAACTTCTTGCCAGATCCCCTTCACTTACAGACAACAGTGATAGTAATAACAATTCTGTGAAGTTGTAGGCCCAGTCTTCAAGTCTAGAGATGAAATGAACATACTGATTAAATCTCCCAGAAGACGGGCAGATTGAGATTTTGTGGGCCTCTTTTTAAAAAGTACAAAATTACATGTACAGATTTAAATAGAGAACCACAGAAAGCCCAGGCAAGTGAGAGGCTTTGAAACTTAATCTCCAGTTTGACTGTTACCCCATCTCTGCTCTCAGCTCTAGGTACAAAATGCCCCAGTGTCCTCCCTCATATACTTCAGAGTCCTGATCTGTTGGAGCATGAGAGGCTCTTAGACTGTGACCTCAGACTAGGCCCTTATAAAGCCCTCCCCCAAGTCTGTTGAATGACCAAATAAATTCTTCCATTCCTATTGATAAGTGAATCACAGGCCAGGCCCAGTTTGCGCTCCACTAGGGGACGCCCAATACTAACCAGAGGCTGCGATTTCAGGTTCTAAGGGAGTAGGAGGCTGGGGACCTGAACTTTCGGGTCCTGAGGACAATGGATTGGGGGTCCTGAATTCTGGGATTGGAAGAGTCTGGGGCCTGGACTCCTGGAGTCCTGAAGGGAGTGGGACTGGGGTGGGGGCCTGAGACGGGAAGGAGGAGTCGGGGAAGGACACCAGGATTGGTTGGAAGCAGAACTGGCCTGGGCAGTGGTTTAGTTTGGCTAGAGTCTGTGGGAAACAAGTGGACAGAGCAGGGATTGTTCCTCCAGGATCCCCCCCTTGTTATCCCCCCCTGGGCTTGGCAGCCTCAGCTCTTCCCAGGCCCTGGGGACTTGGGGGCATTTCCCACAGCCCCTCCCCAAGGCCCCTGTTTTCTATTAGACTCACAGCTGCCCAGTCTCAGGACCTGGAAAAACTGCCCCAAGAGTGCTGACAGGCTGACCGGAATTTAATGCCAAGCTGATTAGTATAAATGCAGGCCCTGAATCCTCAGAGGCCAATAGCCCCACCCATAAGACTTGGGGGCCCAGGACCACCCTCTACTCCCTTCAGATCTAGAAGTCGGTACTCAGCCCCTCTACCTATGGGCCACAGCACTATCCTCTCTCAAACTGGAGATCCTCTGCTTACCTTTGTACATCCTATGCTTTTAGCCTGCTGTTTCCCACTGCCCAGATACCCTCTTCCAACCACTCAGACCAGGGAAGGGGGAGCCAAGTGAGTGCTCCCCACCCCTCCCCTTACTCTCCATCCACAACTGCATGGTGATGCATCCCCTGTGATCAGCCCAGCCCGGTCCCCTAGAGGGCCCTCCCTGTGCCTGAATCCACTACCTATCTGAAGTAGCCTCACCCAGGTCTTGAACGCCTCACTTCCTCTCCTTTTCTTCACTGCCTGCCTTGTTGTCGGAAGTTATCTTCTCCAGGGGTCGTCTTGGGCATCCTCCGCCTCCCTTCCGCCACAGCCTCTCTGTGGCCTCAGGATGGACCAGAGCTCCTGGCCTGAATAGGAGCTCAGGAAATGTTATTTTTATTGCTAGTAAGAAGAGAACGCTATTGGGATTTGCAGATACTAACTACTACATTTAAAATAGATAAACAACAAGATTCTACTGTATAGCACAGGGATTATTCAATATCTTGTAATAATCTATAATGATAAAGGATATGAAAAAGAATGTATCTGTATAACTGAATCACTATGCTGTACACCAGAAACTAACACAACATTGTAAGTCAACTATACTTTAATAGAAAATAAATTTTTTAAATATTTAAAAAAATAAGAGAACAGCTAAAAAAAACACACCATAGAGCTGTAATCAATAAAGCAGTATGTAATTGGGGTTAGGACCAAAACACTATCTTTTTGAGGGGCCACCTGAAGGCAGGACTGTCTGTCTTTTCCCTGTAAATCCATGTGGGACAAATGTATGGGAATTGTCACAGAGCACACCTTTTATAGGTCTGTCCTCTTGGGTCCCAGCCAACCTGGGCACTGCATTCCTATCCTCAGCAATGACTCGTGGGCACCGGTCTCCCCTCAGCCACAGGACCATTGGACACCTCTCTACGATGGCATATTTAAAATGTCAGCCCAGGACCCAGACACTGCCAGAGGCCACTGCAGATTAGCTGTGTCTATTTGTCATTTTACAAATGAGAAAGCTAGACCTTAGTGAAGCAAAGTCTCTAATTATTGTTGTTACGATTATTCATTATTTTTAGTCACCTCTTTATTCCCACTGACCATATACATATATATACATAGAACAGGGATTCAATAAATGTTGGCTGAATGGAATCAGTCCCTCCATCTTAGCTCCTGAGGTCTCAGAAAAGCAAGCACGTGGAAAAGAATAAACTTAGCTTTTTTTTTTCTTTTTATTGATAAGAAGTCAAGCTAGAGTTGGGAGCAGGATGCTCAGAGCTTCTAGGAAGTATGAGGGTAGATCAGGGGAGCCCAGGGGTGGCAGGGGTCTGGATTTGCCCTGCCCCACTATTGGGGGCCCAGCTGTTACTGGTCTCCCTTCAGCAGAGAAAAGAGCTGGTCAGTAAAAATCCCTGCGTAAGTGGTCACAGCTGCCGTGCTTTTGTTGTACATGTCCCTGAGGAGAAAGGACAGAGATGCTGAGGGAGGAGGGGCTGGGGGTGTGGACTCCTAGGCCTGAGGGAGGAGGAGGGGCCTGGGAACCAGAATCATGTGTCCTGTGGGGAAAAGCAACTGGAACCCAAATTCCTGTATCCCTAGGCTGGGATCTCAGAACCCCATGTTCCAGTGGGGCCAGGGGCTAGGAGCTGAGATACCTGGTCCTTGAGAGAGTATAGATGTGAACCTGAACTTCTGAGTCTGAGGGAGAAGGGGCCGGGGGCTGGGACTCCGGGTTCCTGGGGTGAGAGTGGGAGGCAGGTGATACCTGATTTTCTCATCCATGGTGGGCAGGTATGTCTTCTGGTACAGGTCCTGGGCAGCTGCCTTGGCCGTATCCCAGTAACTGAAGAGTGATTCCTGCATCCGGGTGAGCAGGCCAGGGCTGTCAGCCTCATCTTCCTGGGCCATAGCGACCCCCTGGACCTCTGCAAGAGGAAAGTGTGTTTAGGGTGCTGACGGGTCTCCAGCAATGGGAGAACGAGGTGGAGAAGAAAAGGAATGGGCAGGCACAGGGCCAGACAAGACTGGGCTGGGAAGATGATTGGGGCTCATCCTCCTCCTCACATCCTCTCCTCCCCTCCTGACCATACTCACTGAATCCCAACACCAGGAGGATGAGAAACAGGGCTAGGAAGTATCGGGTACCCATGGCGTCAGGAGACCTGGAACATTAAAGCAGGCATGAGGCAGGGCCGCTGGAACATGTATTCCAGGGAACATGCACTCAGGGATCCAGGCCTGGGAACCCCCTCTCTCCACCTGAATCAAGTTCCTTATGACTTAACTTGGGCCTCACTTCCTAACATTCTATGATGCTACTCCTGATTTTAACATCTTAATTCTAACACTCATTCATTCAAGAATTTCTTCAGCACCTACTATGCACCAAGCACAGTTCTGGGCCCAGCCATGAACACAGCATTGGCCCTCCCCTTAAGAAGCCGACATGCGAAGGGAAGGGTATAGCTCAGTGGTAGAGCGTGTGCTTAGCATGCCTGAAGTCCTGGGTTCAATCTACATCATCTCCATTAAAAAAAAAAAAAAGAAGACACCGACATAAGAGAGAAATGCAATTAACAAATATTAAGTGAGTGAAGTAAAGAGCCTGTCACACCCCTCTGGAGGGAGGAGGGTGTGTTTTGTATCTTGAAAAAGCCTCAGCAGGGGGTAACAGTGATGCTAAGACCCAATCCAATCGGTACAGGGGCACATGCCACGGACTTGATTAAGAACCGCCACTTGAATGACAGTATTTCCTCTGTGCTGGGCCCTGTTTTAGCGCGTTCGATCACTTTGTCGTGATCCCAACCGCATAAGGGAGGCGCTGTCAGTGACAACAGTGCTCAGATCACCATATTACCATCCACATTTTGGAGATAAGGAGACTGTAGCAAGGAGGTTGAGATCTGACCCAGGAGGGGGATTGGCACAGGTAAACATTCTACGATTCTACATCCCATGATTCCAATACTGGAATCTAACATCTTGACTCTCGTGGTTTCTGATTTAACAGTCTTGGCCCCCTCCCTGCTGCCCCCTGCCCCACATTTCCATCCCTCTCTTACCGGACTCTGGCAGGCTGTCCGCACCAGCTCCACACGGACAGAGAAAGCCTTTATAGCTCTTGAGCTCTTTATAGCTCTGTCCTCCAGAGCCACCCCCCCACAACCTCGAGGCCTTGGCCAAAGTCCTGGCCAACAGAACGGCTGGGGGGGTGGCATGGGGGCAGAGGACAGTGACATTCCTGAGGTCAAGCCACAGGGAGCCCCTACTTGGAAAATTCACCGCTGAGGGAGACAGGCTGAGTAGGGAGCTGTGGCGAGATTGGGGTACTGGGTGCCCACCAGGAATGAGGTCTGGGTGTCTCCATCCTGTGGGAAGTGAGGGCAGAGCTCTGAAGGAGGAGCTGCTGTGGGGAGCTGCCTGCTCTCCAGTTCTTCACCCTCCATCCCAAACTGAGAAGCCTGAAGTCCCTGCCCCCCAAACAAGCCTGAGGGGTCATCCCCCGCAACCCCGACTCCTTCCCCCAATCCCCCAACCCCTACTGTGGTTCCCTGCCACATGTTACTTCCTCTATTCCTTAATCTTTGAGGGTGGATGGGGTGAAATTATCTCTGGCCGAGTTGGGGAGGGACTGGGACAGGGACACAGAGAATTTCTTTATTGCTGAGGCTGTGAACACTTTAATTTTGGTCGCCTTTCTCGCAGAACAGCTGGGGACACAGGTTGTGAGCCTTGTTCAGGAGGCTGTCCTTGGAGCTGTGGAGCCAGGCCTGGGTGCGGGAAGCCAAGTCTTTCAGGTGGTCTTCAAAGTAAGTCTGCAGAAAGCCCTGGAAGGCCCCGAGGCCCCTGTCAGGGAGGAGACATCACAGTTGAGACCTCCAGCCACCTCCCCAAGACTTCTGCCCCATTCACGTCTTCCTCCCTCTGATTCAGGAGTCCCTGCTCTCAGCCCTTACCCTCTAGCCCTCCCCAACCCCACCCCCTCCTGCTCCCTGGAGTTCGTCTGCTCCTCCTCCCTCAGACCCTGGAGCCCAGGCCCCCAGCCCCTCCTCCTCCCTCAGACCCAGATCCCCAGCCCCTCCTCTGTCAGACCCAGGAGTCCAGCCCCCAAGCCTCCTTTTGCACACACTCACCAGAACCACGGCCACCTCTCTCTGGGTCTGGTCACCAGCAGCTCCATCCACTCCTTCACCTTGCCGGGAACCAGGCTCCAGGAACTACTCGAGGTCTCTGGTGGGGGGCTTGGGGATGCCCCAGTCGCTTCTTGCTGGCCTACTGGATGGGACCAGAGGGCAGTGTGGGACAGCTGGGCCCCAGCACCCTCCCACCTGCCTTTCCCTCTATGCTCACTGTCACTGACACTCCTGTGGTCCCTTGCCAGTCCTCTCACCGCTTTATATGTCCCTCTGACCACTAGCCCCGCTTCTGCTATCGGTCATCACCTTTCAGCCTCTGTGCCCGAGACCCTGGCCCCGTCCCCTCCTTGTCTGCCTGTGATGTTCTGAGTCTGTACCATCGCCTCTCTGCCCCTTCGCCCCCTCCTGATGCCTCCCTCACTGCCTGATCTTGCTGCCCGCTCAGCTCTCCTGTGACCCCTACGTGGTCTGAGCTACCACTGCAGGCAGTGAGGGAGAGCACAGGAGGACTTCCTGCCCGCAGGGATGGATGTGAACAAGGCCATGTGCCGGGCTGCTGGGCCAGGGGTTCTGCCAGGAATCGCACACACCTGTCTGTCCAGCACTCAAGCACCCGGGCAAAGCCTCACCCACAGAGACCAGCCATCACAGGGGTGCATGTGTACACACATGTACAGAGGCATCCATGTGATCTCTGGTGTACCCTCAGCTAATGACTTAACCTCTTCAAGACTCAGTTTCCCCTTCTATACGATGGGTTGATAGGACCTACCTCATAGAGTTATTGTGAGTGTTCAGAGTTACCAATTATAAGGCACTTGGGCTGGTTTCATGCATGTCATAGGCACTATATAAGTGTTAACATTTTATTTTTATTTAATTTTTTTAAGTGGAGGTACTGGGGATTGAACCCAGGACCTCGTGCCTGCTAAGCATGCACTCTACCCCTGAGCTGTACCCTACATTTTAAACTTATGTGCAGAACCCAGACATGCTCACATCCCAATACACACAGACACCCTTCCATGTTTCCAGACCCTAAAATCTTTTGCATAAATACCCCATAAAGACTCACATGTGCACACACGGATACACATGCATGTTCATGGACACACACGTTTCCCACAACTGCATTCTCTTCCGCTCACACGCACAAGTGCATGTTCATGACCCCCAGCATCTGAACTGACCCTGCAAGTGTACCCTTTTCACACACTGTCTCCCATGACACCCACTCCCAGACGCATCTGTTGCTATGCGGTCCCCACAACCGCTGACTGGCTCCTCACCCACAACACAGGCCAGGACCAGAATGCAGAAGCAGAGGGGGTGCTGGGCCCAGAGAACGACATTTCTGGGGGCTCTGTCCCTCTGTCCCTCTGTGCTCAGCACTCCAGGTTGGGGGAGGGGGCAGCTGCACTGAGCAGAGCCCTCCCCTGGCCACCTCCGCCCGCCCCTTGGCAGGGACATCAAAGAGAGGGGGGCCCAGGTGACAGTGACAGTCAGAGGCCATGCTCTCCCCTGCTGGTCTCCTTCCTTCCTCCTTCCTACTCTCCCAGCACCCTAACCTGACTGGGGAAGGCAGGAGGCTCTTTGGCCTTCTGGGCTGAGCTGGATTCAAATCCTGATCCCACTTCATGTGACAGCCTTGCTTTTAGGCCTCAGCTTCCTCCTCTGTAAAATGGGCCCACAATCCATATTTTTTTTTTTAGGACGTTAATTGAATGATGTGATTACAAAGGAAGTTCTCAACGTGGACCCAGGTAATTTAGGTGCTCGAAGATCGCAGCTTTTTGTTATTGTTTCTTCTGTCTCTAAGATCCCTTGGCCACTGGGCTACAGGTCCACACATGTCTTCACCACGTGACCTGGGCAAAAAGACTCTTTTATCTGGGCTCAGTGTTTTCATTTGTAAAATGGGGCTGGTAACAAGCGTAACGGAGTTCACGTGAAGGCTGGGTGACACCCTGTGAAGGAAAGCTCCAGGCCCACATAGTAGGAGGTTGCCAACATCAGGGTCAGGCCAACTACCAGACAGAATAAAAATGAGTCTTTTTCTCCTAGAGGACCCAGCCATAAGCCAGGGTGCACAGTTTAGCCAGGGGACCATGGGCCAGATTCCTTGGTCTCAGGTTACAAGATAAAACACACGCAGTGACATTTGAATTTCTAAGTAATGAGTATTTTTTAGTATAAATATGTCCCATGCAATATTTGGGAATTACACTAAAAATTATTTCTTGTGTATCTGAAATCCCGCCAGGCATCCTGTCTTTTCAGGTGGTGAATCTGACAACCCCTCCTTGGCCACAACCTGGGCGACCGTACAGAATGGACCCAGAGGCTTCCAGCAGAATGCTGTCCATTCTAGTGGCCCCAGCGTGGGCTCTGGCATACAGTAGGTGCTCAATGAATGTTTCCTGGAGTTCCTCACCGACAATAATCAGCAAAATAAAACCTCCAGGAGTTTCTGTTTGGAATGATGAAAACGTTCCAGAAATGGGTAGTGATGATGGTTGCACGAGATTGTGAATGTACTTAATGCCAGTGAACCTTACACCTAAAAATGGTTAAAATGAGGGGGGAGGGTATAGTTCATTGGTAGAGTGCGTGTTTAGCATACACAAGGTCCTAGATTCCATCCCCAGTACCTCCTCCAAATTTAAATAAATAAATAAACCTAATTACCTTCCTCCCCACCAAAAAATAAATAAATAAATAAATAAATTTTAAAAATTAAAAAATGGTAAACTTTATGTTATGTATTTTACCATAATAAAAAAGAAAAAAGAAAAAACCCCACCTTGCATGGTGTTATGAGAAGCAGCGTGGTGTTGGGTTCAGAGTCTGGCTCTACCTCCTTCCTACTGTGTGACCTGGTACCCCTTGCTTAATGTCTCTGGGCCTGTTTCTCCATCCAGGAACCAGAGACATGGACTAGGTACCTACCCAGGAGAGTAAAGCAGATCGTATGTAAAGCACGCAGTGAGCCACACCAGACACGGTGCGAAGCCCCTCTGTCAACCCCAGCTGCTGTTTATAAAGCCTGTGTTCCCTGAGCTCTCACCATGCATCAGGCTCCCCGGCAGGGCCTTAGTGCATTAACTCATTGAATTAACTTGCTCCAGCCCTATGAAGTGGGCATCTTTTTCATTCTCATTTTACAGATGAAGAAACTGAGGCTGTAGGCGGTGGGGCTTCCCAGCCAGCAAGTGGTGAATTTGAATCCAGCTTTTTCACACTACAGCCAAGCCAGGACAACCGCCCTCACCTCCCGACTGGATCCTACAGGGTAAGAGAGAGGCTGAAGCAGGGCCGGGGTTGGAGGAGGTGGGGGGAAGAGGAGGGAAGGTCACTGACCCTGCCCCAGCTCCAAGGTCAGCATGAGCTGTTTGCTGTTTGCAATGTTTGCTCATCTCTGTTATCCAGGGCAGGAACAGGCTGAAGGTCGTTCAGGATGGACCTCAGAGGCAGCTCAAAAACAACTCCAGGTGGTGGGTGGGGGCAGAGAGGTCACAAGGAGGGGGTTGGGGGTGGGAGCAGTGGGGTCTGAGACCCTAGCGTGTGTGTCTGGAGCCAGAGAGCATCTCTGAGCCCACATATCTGTGTCTGCAAGATCATCAGACTCCCAAATCAATCTTTCTTTTCACACCAGGGTCCCTGTCCCAGTCCAGACCCCATCCCCTCTCCCCTGAGTCCCTGTACCCACCTCCCTTCTGGCATCCCTCACCACTCCCCTCCCTGGCTGCTTTGGGTTGTCAGGGAAGTCTGGGGTGGAAGAGAGGTTGGAATGTCCCCTTCTTCATCTCTTCTTTCTGCCTTTGTCTGTAAGATTTCCATTCATTCATTTTTTTTATATTGAGATTTGCACATACCATAATAGTCACCCTTTTAAGATGCACAATTCAATGATTTTTGATCTATTTGCTAAGTTTTTAGCCATCACCATTATCTAATTCCAGAACATTTCATCATCCCAAAAGGAAACCCCATACCCCCTGGCACTTACTCCCAGCCCCTTCTCCACAGCAAGACAACCACTAATCTGCTTTCTGTCTCCCAGTTCTGGACATTGCTTGTGAATAGAATCGTATAATATACGGTCATTTGTGACTGGCTTCTTTCACTTCATTTTTATGGTTCATCTATGCTGTAGCATGTGTCTGTGCTCTGTTCCTTTTTATGGCTGAAAAATATTCCACTGTGTGTGTGTGTATATATACATGGTCACACATACACTATGGATTTATCTATCCATTCATCAATTGATGGGTATTTTGAGGGGGCTATCTTCCACTTTTTTTTTAGTTTTTTTGGTGGGGTAATTAGGCTTATTTATTTATTTATTTAATGGAGGCACTGGGGATTGAACCCAGGACCTCATGCACACTGAGCATGCACTCTACCGCTGAGCTATGTCCTCCCCCAAGTTTCTTATGAGGATTCTTTTAAGATGATGAAGTTCAAAGTCCTCAACACAGAGCAAGTAGACAATACTCAATCCATTTGTGTCCTTGCTGCCCTTCCCCAAAGGCACAGCCCCCACCCTGTCAGATAGCCCTGGCCACGCAGCAAAGAAGCACTCAGAATTCTCTCTACAATTTTTATTGTTTGGTGGGCGGGGGTGATATGGCACTTCATGGAGTCATCCATCCAGAGTCCATGGTGTGCGAAACTTTAGAGAGCCCTCCCAGAGCACAGACCCAGAGGAGAGAGGTGGACCTCCTGGTGCTCAGGAGGTTCTTTTTTTCTGAAATACCTGCTAGACATGGAGGATGATTTTCAAAAACCAGTTTCTATAGAGAAAAGTGGAGCAGGGATGACTGTGTTTTGCCTCTTTGCAGGATGCCCAAATCCTCCCCTATACCTGACTGCCTGATTATCTCCTTCCCCCAAGAAAACAGCAGGGTGGACCCTGTCTGTGGGATTAGGAGGAGCCCTAGGCTGGGTGCCCCCAACTTCTGTGCCTATTTCCCAGATGAGCACCTTGAAGTCACAACACCTCACCCTGGCCTGGCTTTCAAGGCTTGCCATCTCTTGCTACGAAGCCTGCTCTCACCCTAGCTGTCCCCTACTTCCTCAAGGGCAATTTCCAGTCTCCCAGTCCTTGACTGGGTTGTTTCCTTGCCTGGAATGCCTCCCTCTCCTTTAGGTACTTTATGTACTCCTGCGTCAGGGCCTTTGCACTCACCCTCCCAGGAAACAAGCTGCCCTTGGCCTGGCTGGATTTTCCTAATCATTAAGATCTGGATTGAAAGTGTCTCCTTTTCCAAGATCCAGTCACCAAGTCTGCAAAAGCCCCTACTCCATCCTGCCTTGTTTACACCTGCCCTGTTTATTGTCCTCTCAGTATTTGGATCTAGCTGGACTAATTTCTTGAAAATATACGGGTTTATAGTGTGTTCTCTCCTCCTTCCTCTCTCCCCTGCAGAATGTCAGCTCCCCATGAGCTGGGACTTTATCCTGTTCATTTCTGTCATTCCCCACCTTGGAACAGTTCCTGGCAGTTAGTGGATGCTCCATAATATTCAGTCATGAATGATCCTCTAACTCAACAGCTAACTTCCAGTTGAATGTATTGAGTATTTACCAGATGTCAGGCACTACGAAGTTCCTCTAGTTTATTTCCCCTCAGAGCACCTATTTTGCAGATGAGAAAACTGAGGCACATGATCACACAGGGAGCAGTGGGTCTTTGCCAGCCTGAGGACACAGGTCTGCCTGTGGACCGTGACTCCCATGCTTGGGTTTTTCACCACCACCCAGGACCATCTCTACACTGTGTCTGAATGGGAGTCAGGGAACCTGTCCCCCATGTCTGAGCACCCTGAGATCTAAGGACCAGCCGTGTGACCTCAGGGACTTTGTCAGCCTCTCCTGACTTTAGTTATCCCAATGTGTAAGTCCATACACCCCAGCCTTCCCTTACCCTGGAGAGGGTCCTTATGTAGCCTTCAGAGGAACTTTGCTATTTTTGATGGTGCCAACGACACCCTGAGTCATCTCGTGGGGTTTTCCAAACTTTGCCAACTTTCTGAGGATCGGGATGTGGTCCAAAAAGCTGATGAGGCCTGGGCAGGGGCTAGGCCTGCCCAGAAAAGGGACACGGGTACAAAACCTTCAGTATTGGGAGCCCTTGGGATGAGATTCTGGGGATGGGAAAGGAGACCTTTGAATGTGATTCTTGGGGGTCATGGTGTTAGAATGCAGGAGACGGTACTGGAGGCACCAGATGGGGCTTGAAAGATGCTGAGAATTGCCTTACTCAGCACTGGACCAGTTCCCCAGCCCTTTCCAGGAGGTAAAAGCAAGACAGCCAATCCCAGAGGGCTAGAATGGACACGTCATTGGTTACTAGGGCTCCCCTGGGCAGACTGACACACACTGGACCTGGCTTTAGAGAACTCTGAGACATGACTGGGAGGGTGGAAGTGAGGGCGACTGGTGGACTTTGTGGGAACCAGGGTACAGAAGGGACCCCAGAGTTCTCAAGGGTCCTCTAAGCCTGCATCTCAGGCCCAAGGTAGCCTCACCTTCCCAAATCTCAAACTCTCAGTCTCCCATCCCATTTTCACCTTTCAAAACCATGCAGAGAGCCACCAGCAGGACCGGGAGTGACAGAATTAGCCTTAGGTTGGGATGGGGCCAGAGCAGCACTCTCCGATTTCCTTCTGGGCTCTGAGGACAGCACAGGTGACAGGACCTAGCCTGGCCCGGGGCCTTTTTGATGGCGGGGGGAGTCAGGTAAGGTCAGTCTTCCTCCCCTTAAGCCTCACCTGCCTCCCTGTACCCACCTACCTCCTCCTCCCCACCCCTCCCTGGTGGCTGTGGGGATCAGGTGGGACATAGGCCTGAAGACTTAGGCCAAAAGCATCTTGATGTACAGCACCTGCACCTCCAAATTTCCCTGACTGTTGGGGACCTCAGGCTGCCATGGTGTCTTCCCCATTCAGGGGACAGCCTTCTCCCTCTCCCTGTGGCCATGATCCCTTAGAGGGCTCTCCTGCTTAAGACCCTTCTCCAGCCTCAGGGGGTCTCTCAGTAAGTCTCTCAGTAACTGAGTAACTAATTCACACTGTGTCCCCAGGCCACCTCTATCATCCCCTCCCCCTTCTTAACAGGCCCCTTCAGCTCAAATAACTTTTTTTTAATGGAGCTACTGAGGATAAAACCCAGGACCTTGTGCATGCTAAGCATGTGCTCTACCACTGAGCTATTACCTGCCTGCCTCAAATAACTCATACTCCAGGACTCTGGGGTCATACAGTCTGCCTCCACACATTTACCTATCTCACGGCCACCTCCAGTCACTTTCAGACTAGCCGTTCTATTCCCCCATCTTTCTGCATCTGGAAGACTCTTAGGCCTCCCTGGATGCTCTCTGGGGTCTTAATTTCACAGCCCCCAATCTCCCTTTTGGAGAGGGTCTCTTCAACTTGTCAAAAGTGCATGGAGGGAGGGTAGAGCTCAGTGACAGAGCGCATGTTTAGCATGCATGAGGTCCTGGGTTCAATCCCCAGTACCTCCATTAAAATAATTAACAAACAAACAAACAAGTAAATCTAATTACCACCCCCTCCCCCCTAAAAGTACAAAACCTCAGGTGCAAGGTTCACAATGTGCACCCTTCTGTCCATTCCACCAGCAGCCCCTTTCTCTCTGCTCCCCAACTCTCCAAGCCTCCAGGTTCCCTGGAAACACTCCATCTGCTTTTATTCACCCACTGGGCCCCTCCTAACACCATGCACCCGCCCCTTTTCCCTTCCACCAGATCAAGCCCCCAGGGCTGCCATCCAATGCCTGCTCCCATCCTCTCAGCTGCCTTTGACTGCTAGTGATCCCTGGCAGCTGGGAGAGGGTGGCCCTGGCCCCAGACTCTAGGTTGGCTGGCCTAGTGCCCCAACAACCACGTGTCTGTCTTGGGCTGAGGGGGGTGGTTGTGAGAAGGAAGCACAGACACTACCTTGGCAGGATTGCAACAGCCTTTTGGCCAGCTCAGTGCTTCCAGCCCGTCAGCCCCCAGCAGCCTTCCCAGACACCGGCTTCCTCCTCCGTGAGCCCAGTGCTTCCCACACAACCCCCTAGATGTCTGCTTTCCCCCTCTCCACCCTCAGAACAGAATGACAACTTTGCTTTGCTGATCTGGTCCTCCACTCAGCTACAGGAGTTTCTGTTTACAGATGGGGCAACAGAGGTGCAGATTAGAACATTCGATGGCTCAGTGAGAGGTTAAGTGTCCTCTCCTTCCTTCTCCCTCATCTTCTCCCTCCCTTTCTTAGACTTTAGGCTGTCTCTCTGAATCCCTTTGGAGTCAGCCTTCACCCCACAGCACCCTCTGCCAGCCTCTGTTCATACAGAATTCAAGATTCAGCTCTTCCAGTGGGAGAGATGGTGGACGTCTCCGCCCCCATGGACATCTGGGGAAGCAGGCTCAGAGGGCTCAGCCCTCGCTCCTGGGCACACAGTGAGTCAGCAGAAGCCCAGGTGGGACTAGGCCCCTGCCTCTGAGCCCACAGATACTTCCCCTCCTCACTCAGCCCCAAGGGTGACTCATCTGGTGGAGCAGGGGGAGGGAGTCTGATTCCACAAGGGCAAGCAAAGCAGTGCCAGGGAAAGCTGGAAGGGCAGAGTGCTGGAACCAAAGCAGGCAGAGGCAGCCCTGCAGACACAAGTTCCGGCCTGTCCCTGGTGGAGGGAACCCCGCTCCCCTCCTCTGAGAACCAAGGGGGAGGGCATGGGAGGGGAGAGCACAGGTATCTCCAGGCTCCAGCCAGGCTTCTCTGAATGTCAACTCCCTACCACATGGCCCCGCCCTGAACACCAACGGCCCAGCTGCAGACCCTCACAGGGCATGCCTCCCTCCCTGGCCTGCTCCCAGCACCCAGCAGGCTTGTCAGTGTCGACCAGAGGCCAATGACCCAGCTCGAGGAGCAGAGGAATGAGAATGAGGGTGGGGGACTAGAAAGCAGAGCTCAGAGTGAAGGGACTCACTAATCCAGAGGGAGGGAGACAGGCCCAGGGCCCACATGCCACAAGATGGTGGCTGAGGGCAAACCCAGACAAAGAAGGGAAAAAGAAACAAACAAAACCACCAAGCATGGCCAGGGGCAAGAGAAACCAGTGGAGGGAGAGATAAAAGACAGAGATGGAAGAAAAGAGGAAGCCAGAAAATGAAGCCTCTCGGGGAGAGCAGGACTGAGACCAAGGCCAGGAGAGGGAAGGAGACCAAGAATCAGATAAGAGAGGGAGAAAGGGGGTGGGGAAGCGGCAATAAAAACAGTTTAATGATAATGGTGGTGGTCTCAGGTCTTTTGAGTCATGAGGCAATGAAGCCGGTATGGTGAAGCTGGGCAAACGGAGGCTCACAGAGCTTGCTTTTTTGGCCCACAGTAGTCAGGGGCAACCGCGGGATTTAACCCACGGGTGGAATTCTTCCAGAGTCCTGTTTTGGAGGCAGAATGGCCAGAGAGGCCGGGAGGAGAACGAGTGGAGATGGAGAAAAAAGGGAAAGACTCAGAAAGGGACAGAAGGAAGTCAAGACAGTTAGAAAGAGACAAACAGACACACACAGGCCGAGGGAACAGGACAGCTGTGTGGCCAGAGTAGGGAAGGAAAGAGAAACAGGCGTGAGCTGTGAGAAATCACACAGGAACACCCAGCAGCT